CTGGCGGGGGGTCGGGCTTGAAGATCTACTAGGTCCCTTCCGACCCTTAACCTATGAATCTATGAATCTATTGTGGCAATCCATAAATCCATAGTGGCAAAAATATTTTGACCTCTTCTAGTCTGAGTTCTTTTCAACAGAAGAATTGTTCAGTTATTTTTCTATAATCACAAAATTAGTGAAAGATAAGAGCTGGTGTTTTCTGATGGGTGACTGGGGTATAATAAGGGGTGCCATGAGTCTAAAAAGATTAAGAACCACTGGCATAGATGGTAGCATCTCTTCACTTTGTACTAAAATGCTAGAGAGAGCTCTTAAACCAAAAGAAGATTCTAACAGTGGACCAATGAGTCGCCATCTAGATGTATTAGGGATCATTAAAAGTGGCTTGGGTTTACAGAATCATGTAGCCCAGGGGCATGCTGAGAGGATGCAGGCTGGCTCCTTGGGTGGGTGCCACCCTGTCAGTACAGAAAGGCAGAAAGACCGCTTGGATTCAGCATAATGCCATGAAACATCTACTTTCCAATCACTCTCCTTGAAGCTTTAGGAGAAGCAACAGAAGCCCAGAGCGTCTGGATCCCTGAGACTTTCCAATGCACCCTCTCTCCCACCGCCAAAGTGCAAACCATCCTGGCATGACCAGACCTGACCAAGCCCCAAGCACCTACCATTGAGCTCTAGCTCTCCATAGTGGTTCCTGTACCAGAGCAGCATGTTCAAGCGGCACTTCACGTAGATCATGGCCACAAACAGCAGTAGAGCCAGGACTGCCAGGGCTGCCAGCACTGCCCCTACATGCCCAGCAGCCTCTGCAATCATCAGAAATGTCATTTTCAGTACAGTTAGCAGTTGCAACCAAATGTGGTGCTGCTTTAAGTGAGAGGTTTAGTTTGTATCCAGGCAGGCAGTGGTGGGTGTTATTGCTTGAGGCAAACCTTGAGTGGGGTTACTGGCCTTAGAGCTTTTAGCTAAGACCTAGGGCCAAGTACAAATCCACCTACAAGAGGCATTTACCCAGCTCTCAGCATGTAAGTCACTAAATACAACCTTAATCCACCCTGTACCACAGCCATTCAGCTGTCTAGCTTTCTTCTCTCTATGTTGGGCCTTCTGATCATGGCTCTGAGAGGCCATCCTGAGCCTCTACCTTCACTTATGCTCTGTGGTGATTCCCAGTTCACCATGGGGAATGTCACTATTCAAGAGGGGGTGCAACTGTGCTCAGTGAGGAGGCTAGCCTGGGTCTAAGCCCCTGCTCCCAATATGTTTCATCCAATGCAGAAACCACTTTAGGAGCAGGAGCCACAATCTTCCCTCTCAGACTAGTGCCGTTTGCACTGGGCTGTAGTGCCCCAATCCCAATTTTTATGTTCTTCTTCTGGATCCATGACTTCTCCTGTTGGCTGTCCAGTGGACAGCTTCAACATGAGGGGTGGAAGGTGCCCTTGGCCCTGCTGAGCTCATGGTCTGGTTTTTACTTTAGGGCATTTTGCTGAAAAATGGGAAATGCAGATTCTAACACTTTCTGGATGAGGGAGCCTAGAAGCTGGGTCTCACACTCAGTGAGCAAGTGCCCTAACATTAGGCACCATTAGGTTGGTGGGTCCTCTTTCTGCTCCTTCTCCACTATTTAGAAATCTCCCCCTGAGTAAGCCCCTTTAGGATGTAGGTGCATGAAGTTTTTCATTAACAGACCAGGACAGAGCTTTGTGCCTTCCTGGAGAATGAGGATCTCTGAAGGCAGCCCTTTGTCAGGATAGGAGAGCAGTGCATCTCCACACTGAGGTTACGGTGCATCTCTAGGGCCCAACAAACTGTCCACTGAGAGAACAGGAAAAAACAGAGCAGGGGGTTTGGGTGGCTTTGGATCACACACTGAGGCAGGACACAACATTTTTGCATTAGCTGTGGGACACATTTTAGAGGCAGAGCTGGCTTTGGGCCCTCGCATGCTGTCAGTTTGCTAGCTAATATGACAGCAGCACCCAGAGGCATAGCTAGCTATCTCAGAGCCCTTGGCAGAACTGGGGGCATGAAGAGGGGGTTGTGCCGAGCACAGGGAAGCAGGGGTGCGGGGACGGGCAGTCTTACCTACCACAGTATAGGCTTCCCCAGGAGCTGGAGGCTCCTGCTGCAAGAAGTGGGGGTGGCTTCTTCCATGGGAGTCACTGCTGCTGCAACAGCTACAGGGTTAACCTTCTCACACCTGCTACTGAATTGTATGTGGAACGATACTGTAAAAGCCCTTGGGTGTGAGAGGGTTAACCCAGCAGTTGTTGGCTGCACAGCAAAGGGAGGGGAAGTGAGGCTGGCAAGAGGACTCCTGCCTCCAGTCTGGGATGCTGCCTCTAGCCCCTGGGTTAGCTAACACCCAGCCCTAGTTATGCTACTGGCAGCACCACCTGCTTGAAGATGGTGCCCTGCACGTACAGGGGATAGACTCTACTGTCAGGGATCTTTCACATCTCTGCCTGTCAGAATAAAGAGTACTGAGCTAGATCACTTGCAGGTTAAAGCAGAAGCACATAGATCATTTGATCCACGTGCCAAGATACAAGGGACCCCTCGCATTTTGTGATGAAATCATGAACCTAGGAGATCCCTATATCTAGCCATAATCTCATCAGTAATCTCTCATCAGCAATCTCCCTATTGCAGAACACGGTTCATCTATCCCTTCTCGTGTGTAGGTGAGCTCTCTCTCTCTCTTCCTCTCCCTCCCTATGCTAATCTGAAGAGACCCTTCAGCTGGGCTGGATCCAGAGGTCCATCATCATCAGTTCTTTCACTGCTGTTCTAAACAAAGAAGTCTTGAATTGGGTGAGGAGTTTTTCTGGAAAAAGCATGGTTTCCCTCCTCTTAGGTTATGGTGCCATCCTGTGGCAACTTTCTATCATCCTATTTAAAGAACACTTTCTATTTAACAGGGAACCCTTTGCTGTTCCTGCTATTGAATAGTGGTGGGAAGGGTTTACTTTCAAGACAGCTCTGGGAAATTTCAGCAGCAAGATGAGAAGTTACTCCAGGAAGTGGCCAAAAGGGTTAAACACTCACACTGCATTACAGGCCAGGATCAGAACCTGACTATTCTGTATCATACAAACTTGGACCTACCTCTCCATGTCCTGTTTGAACCATTCCCCCTGCTTAGGCTGATTCTGCTGCTAATTACGGCACAGACAAGAACACAGCGCTCCAGAAATCTGCATCCCTCTTGCTCACTGGACAGAGCTTGGGAGTGTGTAGATAAAGCCTCCCCATTATTTGAAAGTCTTGCTGCTAACCATTCCTCATACTCTGGTCATTTAATCCGTACTGGGATGAGGGATGTCTCTCTGTACAAGCATGCTGTTTGTGGACCGGTGGCTTTATCGCCACTGAAATGCCATGTTCTCCCTTTCTTGTCAGACAGTTCTAGTCTGAACACAGCAGAACTGTGGCCTTGTGGGCTCTGAGCTGTGTGTTTGGAGTCCAAACCTCTTTCTGGAGTCAATAGGTAGTCAAAGGAATTTTGCATCCCATGTGGTCCAGAATATGACTCTGTCCACAGCTGTAAATATCAGAGCGGGATATGGCAAAAGTGTTACCAGGGCAGGCATATAATTCCCAACACAACTTGTAAATGCCCAAGGGGCTCTGCTTCTACCTGGCAGAACCCCCCGTACTCAACTGCTACAGCCCTTTGCTACATCATTACCATCATAGGGTAAAAGCTCAAAGAGTTACTACCTGATCTCTGCAGTGTAAATGTGGCTGTGATGTTCCTAGCCAGGCAGGCAAACACACCATAGTTCTCATCGCTTGTCAGATTCACCGACAGGAGGCTGGACATGAACATCTCTGATGCATTATCACTGCGCCTGAAGGACAGAAGTGCCTTGGGTTAGCACAGAGCTATGTTGAACATCTTCTGGAGGGAAATGGAAATAGACGTCAACTAGGAGGCAGAAAAATACAAGAAGGCACTTCTGGATAGAGTTAATCTTAAATATGGCCCAGAGGAGCTCTAGCTTGTTGTCCCATGCTACTGCAAGGAACTGTTCAGCCTGGGAAAGTAGGAGGGCTGAGATGGAATAACACAAGTTTCCATCTCTCCCATCTGCCAGGCTTCTGGTATCAGTTTGCTGCCTCTCCCCTAGCATCAGCCTTTTCTTGGCTTTTGTCCTTTGCACCACAAATTAGAGGGCAGCTTCTACCTCATCTGGGAATTTCCTTGTGCTTAAAGACAAAGACCAAGATTTGCAAAAGCAGGGCCCTAACCACAGACTCCTCGACCTACATTTAGGAGATGAACTTTTGTTGAATGTCATTGACTGGCCAGGTTTGCTTTGCTGATTTCTCCATTGTGCAGCCAGCCAGGGAAATGGATCAATGTGCTTAAACACATGCACAAGAGCAATTATTTTACAATGGCAGCTGTTAGGGAGAATTTCACATGTCTTGTATAAGTACAATTAAGCAGCCAGCTCTGCTTTTCACCCATTCAGCCACCATAACACTCTTCCCACCTGGACCTCTCGCTGGCAATGACATAATACATTTGGCTGCAGTATAGAGGCAGCCCCTGTTCTCAGTTCTAGTGTGGGGTCTTTTGCTTTCACAAACCAGTACAGCCCCTCTGGGGCAGAGAACATGCTTTGGGAGATAAATGCTGTCTGACAGGTGAAAACCTTGAAGCTTACATTAACCCTCTCTAGGAAAGGGAGACTTGTTGGGACCTGCTGAACCCTGCCTTTCCCTGTGGGTGTACAGAAAAGATAGCTAGCAGATGTCTCAAAGTATGGGAGCTCCTAGCAACTCTGGAGTCTCTGTGGGGAAACTCCTCTGATCTCAAGGCCTGTGAATGTGGCAGCACTTAGGAAAGCTAAACCAAGTTGCCTGAAAATGTGAAGTCAGTGCACAAACACAGAAGTGTGTCAATCCCTGACACAGGTGGTCCTGTTCAGAGTAAAGCGGTGTTAGACCACTGCCCATTAATCCTCCATGGAGGTTTAACATGCTGTAACTCATGCACATTAAGATACTCTGGCTTTATGCTGGTGTTGCTAAGATTGTTCTCGAAGCCAGTGAGTTTCATCTCCTAGCTATGTGCAACAGGGGGTCTTGTGCTGGCACACTGAGAAATGTACAGAAACCACCAGCTGGCCTACATGCATATTGTTGCTCATGCTGGGCTTCATTGTTCATTCAAGTCTGTATTGATCTCCTCTGTTCAGATCAGGAGTAATACCTGAGGGAAAGGGGACATGTATGTCAATGTAGCTGTGCTTTTATTCCAGAGATATGAGTTCAGATCCTGTCTGTGTCACAAATGAACAGAGGCTTGATCACAGTCCACTCATTTACAAGTACAAAGTCCCCTGGAAACAAATCAATACTGTTCTGTCTATCTTCAAGAAACAGAAGCTGGGAACTGTAAGCCAGGACTCCAGCACGCTCCGAGCCAGTGTATAACTGGGGCTGCAGTAACAAGGGTAACTTAGCTTAAGCTAGAGGTGCACTGGGTTGCCTGTGAGGGGACTCTGGCTAGAATAGCACGGTGTGGTCTAGGCTGGCAATGAAGTGCCCTGGAACAGTTGTGTCTGAACCTGGAAGAATAAAGGTGCCACAGACAAGGCTTGAGATAAATCAGCAGACCCTAATCTGTGTCTAGGGCTTGAATCAGAGGTGGGGGAGCATTTGGTTGGGAGGCTGTCTTGCTGGAGCTCAGAGCACTGGCCAATGGGTCCGTGATTCATACTGAGGTTTTCATTAACAAGACAAAGCACTGGGATTTGGGGTACAGTTCACTGGAGATGGGTGCTAACAGAAGGTGAGTCCAGGGCACCCCCTGCGACCAGCCCTGTTTCACATTGCTTCAGCCGTCCAGTTCATGGCATTTGCTCAATGACTGGAGGAATTAGCCCCTCCCAGCACTGGCTGTCAGCAGCCTTTCCCAGGCCCCAGTTTTACAGGCTCATAGGTCAACCTCCTTACCAGGCTTTCTCCTCGTGGGTGTACTGGCTGCTCTCGTTGCCTAACCAATGGCCATCTTTCATCCAGCTCAAGATGGGGTTGCAGTGTTCATCAAAGGGCAGGCGCACCGTGCAATTCAGTGTTATCTGGCTCCCTAAAGTAGGCTCCAAAGTCTGACTGCTGGATGGGGAAAGGACTTCAGGTGGCACAGTGCAAAGGTCTGTTGGAAGGCAAGGAAAGGCTGAGAGACAGGCTTTTTAAAGGGACACTATCAATTTAAAAATCTGTGGGAGGATCCTTTCTCTTGGGCATATGCACAGAGAAATCTAGCTGCATAACTAGTCTGGTGTAATTACCTTGCATAGACACTCCCTACGATTAAATTCTTTCATTTACAATGGAAGAAAACACTTTTTCTCTGTGCATACAACAGCACTCTAAACTCAGTCAACCCAGCATGCCTAAAGTACAAGCTGTTCAGCTACTGAGTCAAAAAAAAGGCAGACATGCGAAATTCCCTCTCTGTACAATCTGTGATGTAGCAGGTGGCTGGTCACCAATGACAGGGAACCTTGAATTTGTTTAGCAGATAACTAAATTCCTCCAGTAGCTCAAGGATTGGGATTGGGGCTCCTTGTGCTTTAGGTCCTGGCTTCGTTCCCTGCTGACAACTAAGGGGTGTGCATAGAGCTAGCGTGTTCAGTAGTAGCAGTGTGTTCAATTTCAATGAACAACAGCAAGTATTTTTCAATGACATTTTTCACCCACATTTTCTGTTTTTCCACCAGCATGAATGACTAAACACAGATGGGGGCTGGGGAAGGGAGACTTAAGAGGCACTTGCTCTTGCAGAGAGGAAATGCCTTAGCACTGCCTGCTATTCAAATGCCCATCTCCTCACAGCAGGTCCTTTTTGTCCTCTAAATGCAAGCCTCCTTTCCATGCCAAACCCAGTATTTACTTGACTTCACCTGGGGTCACTACCTTGTCCAGAGCCTTCTTTACATTATGCTTTATCTGGAAATGCCACCTTTGATTTTTCCAGATCTCTCCTGAATCTCTCCTCTCTGTTCCCACTGGGATCTGTCTTTCTCCCCTTTTGCAGCCCAGTAACTATTACATGGTGTCGAAGTGCAGTTCCTGAGACTGGTCTTTGTGTTTTTTTCTGTGAAGTGACCCTCTGGGTGTGTTTCTGTATCTGCCTCTGAGTGTGTCCCACACAACATTTTTTATTTGGGGCCCAGCTAGAATCTTTGTATACTTTTAAAACTCTCTGTGCAGATAAAACAAATGGAATTTAGCTGTGGGGAGATTGCAAATCTAGTTTTTAGGCCTTTTCCCTCAAAGCAGCATTGCTTAGAGTAGTGCACATGCCCCCATAACTTCCCCTCCTGTGCTCAGGCAAGCATGCCAGCTCTGGGTCAGAGGGGCACTGCATGATATCTGTGTGCATATCTGTGAATGCTATCTGTGTGCATATCTACCAAGCCTGAGCTGGGCTGGGCTGGGCTGGGCTGCGCTGGGCTGCACTGGGCTGGGCAGGGCAGATAAGCACCCCCCCAGAGCTCACCAGTGCTACTTCCTGGGTTGTCCAGCAGGAAGCTGCAGGGTTTAACTCAGGGGTGGGCAAAATGCAGCCCGCCAGGCTATTCTATCTGGCTTGCAGAGCCCCTAAACAATTTAGAAAATTAGTATTTATCTGCCCCTGGCTGCCTGTCATGCGGCCCTCAATGGCATGCCAAAACTTGCCCGAAATAATTGCCTGCCCCTAGTTTAACTCCAAGGATGGCATCAGCCTGCATGCAAGTGGTCCCCCTCACCATCTTCCCTCCCCCACTGCCCTCCCCACCTACCTATCATGGTCAGTTTGGTAGTGAAGGAGGCGTTTCTCTGGCCACCTAGGTACAGTGTGCAGGTGTAGTTCCCAGCATCGCTGGCCTGCGGGTGCAGGAAGGTGAGGTAGGCTGTCCCATTGGTGTGTTGCGTGCTGTGTAGGTGGCCCTGTGTACTGAGGTTCAGCGGGTGGCAGTCTTTTCTCCATTGGAGGTTAAAGTCCTGTATGGACTGAAGGAGCTGGAGGCTCGGCTCGTCCAGTGGGCAGAACAAATGATTAACAGGTGGCTGCTGGCTCCACACGTGGTGATCGTAGATGCGGCTGGAGTCCAAGCAGGAGAGATCAGGGACTGATGGAATAAATTAAAACAGCTTTTCAATTTGGTCTCTTTTACCAGCTTGTGTACACCACACATATCCAGCAAGGTGGGGTCTGAGTAATGCTCCCCGTGGCAAGAACACATCTGAGACCACTGTGCCACCAGAACCAGCCAAAATAAGTGACTTGTATTAAGACAGCCTCCAGAGCCCCAAAACCCAGCTGTGCCAGGCACTGCATGTGCATGTGGTAAGGGACAGACCCTGGTTTAAGTAACTCATGTTTGAAGTAGATGAGACAAAGTATTGTTATATCCATTCTATGAAACTGAGAATGAGATTATCTTTATTTTATATACTTGCCCCTCTCTGCACTAGTCGCTTATGCTGTACAATAACTAGCCTTCCTGAAGGGGAGGTAGGGGAGTAGCATATGTCTCCTGCTTTACCTGCGTTGGCTTATTTTATCACTTCCCGTGAGAGGATTATGTGGCAACGTGATTACAGTGGCAGTTCAAAGGTAGTTGCACAAACTGTAAAATCAGACTGAACAAAACTGTCTTTTTCATCCCAGATGCAAACAGAGACCTTACCCTCCCCAGAGAATGTTATGACCCTTCCCCAGATCCATAACAAGGCTGTGCCACTTAAAAACACATTACTTTGAGAGTAGAGCATCCCTGTGAGCAAAACCATACAACTTGAAACATGTACTACATTGATTTAATAAATTAAATTTGACCAAAATATTATGGCATGCATGTATGCTTAGTGGCACAGGACCTATGCATATGCTTTGCTCATCCAGCAACAGGTTAGCCCTTGTGATCACAGACAGAGTACAATAGGAACTGAGAGCCAGAGATTAAAGACTTGCCCACGGTCTGTAGTAGAGCAGAGGTTGAAACATATATCTCTGGCTCCACGTAGTACCTCAGTTCATGTGTGGAGCAGACTCAGGGTGGCTGACATCTTCACTGCACTGCACCCCATGGGCAGAGGACAAACCTTCACTTGCTAGGACACTGAGCAGAGTCAGGAGGGTGAAACAAGGAGCGGGCAGGCTCTGGGAGTGAAATGGCTTTTGTCCTAGATTACCTGATTTCCCAATGACATGGGAAGTTAATTCATCAGTGTAAGTATAATTGTGTAAATGCCCTCCCTAATCCCAGCGAAGTCTGTGCTATGGAAGCCTTGTCAGTCCTTCCTCTTCCATCTGACCTTGGCTTTAAACTCTCCCTTATCTCCATTAGCAGTAAAACCCCCACCCTGCTCTATTTAAACATCCAGAGCATGGTCCTGGTTGGAGCAGGGCTGGGGCCCTGCTGGTATGTGAACATGCTGGCTTTGCTTGCTGAGCAAACACTCTAAAGCCAGGCTTCGGGGACTGCCCACAGGAGAAGGACGTGTCACTGCTTGGGATTTCTGCCTGCTCAGAGCACACACAGCCAGCCTACCGCAGGGGGTAAATTCAGCTGCAGCAACGGGCTAGGCTGTCTTTCCCTCGTCCCCCATGCTTAAGCGGGATCCAGCCACACGGTCACTGAATGCACGGCAGGGAGTTTCTTCTCTCCACGGGCTTCCTGCCCATGTACCTCATTCCTTGTACCTCTGTGAAGGTCTGCAGGTCTGGATTTTCAAGCTTTTGGGGTCCCCTAACCATCCTCAGAAACAGATGGAGTGGGGAGGAAAAGCCTTGCTGAGCTCTTCCTCCGAGGAAGACAAGTGGGCACTTCTATCTTCTCAAGGGCCAAGACACTTTTAAAGGGTTCAAACAATGGGGCTCAAATGGATTTTGGTGGCAGGACATCATCACTGCTCTTCAGCCTAACTGTTCCTCATCTCAGTTTCGCCCCTTAATGCTATTTACCTAGACCGAAGCCTTTGTAACCTCTTTGGCCCCAGCTGCTCCTAGACTGAGACTTATGGTTACACCATGAGTCTTCTCTTGGCCCAGCCAAATGTATTTAGTTGCCTTTGTCTTCCCACTCCAGCCAGCTCTTCCAGCCTCTTTGTTATGTTAAGCAGAGCTGCTCCCTGCCCTGGTTAGAAGAGAGCTGTGCTCTCAGCTTACTGTGCCTCCAGGCTTTAACTACACCCTTTGGAAGGTGGGGCCATATGCTCCTTGCCCATGTCTTCCCGTCAGCTCAGGGAGGTACAAGCTAGGGAGGAGCCTCCCATTTCCATAAAATGGACTTTAATCCCCAACACCTAGGCAGGTACTAAACCATGCCAGAAGAACAGCTGTCCTGCTCCTGCGGCCATATGGCTGCAGGCAGGCAAAACATGGGGGCATCCGAATCTCAAGCCTCCGGGCATAGGCCTGCATGTTGGATGCTTGCCAAAAGACTTTGGAAATATCTGAAGCCCCTGGTGGGGGTGGAGGATGTTTGCCTGTTGTAGGGCCACTTATGGTTGTGAACTGACTCATGGATTTGGACTTGATTTGGCTGATGTGACTTGGAACACAAAACATTTCCTTAAAAAAAAAGTCAGTGCTGGGAGGTAGAGAGGAGGTGGGATGCATCTTTGTTCAGCTGACCTCCTCACACCACAGCTGGATTCTTCCTGCTGCCCTCCTTAGTGTACTGATGGGTCCCATGCTACTGACCTGCGAGGAGGGAGCGTGGTATTGAAACCAGCCACTGTCACCTGCCCTGCACGTACTGCTGTGCAACAGCACCTGAGCACAGATTCTCCTGTTCCTCTTTGCTAAAGCCACAAGTTGGACAGGGCATCACCCCTGCAACAAGAGCCCGTGGAGGGAGGGCAGTTAGGGGCACATGCTTCTTGAGGGCACTGCATCCTTTCTGACAAGCCGGCAGACTCTCCCGCAGCGTTCCCGTGTCCTCAGCAGCACTGCAGAACCAGGCAACTGCCTCCAGCACTGACTGGCTGATTACAATGTTTAATTAAATAGTGGTGCAATTTATTTATAGTAACTAGTCCTTTTTGCCCCGGGTGCTGGGTAGCTCAGGAAAGTTTGTGCAGCCTGCACATCAAGAGCAGGGACTTGGGGCCTGCTGGGCTTCAGTGCAAGAAGGTGTGCACTGATGTACGCTGTGTGAGGGTACTGTTGACAAAGAGGTGACTTGTTGGTCACAGGCTTGGCTAGTGTAAATCAACCCTGCTTTGCTGAAGTTGCCATTTTGACTCTTGTGAGCAGCACCAGACATGGGCAAGAGAAGTCCTAAAGCCTCTCAATGTATCATCAGTTGAGTCAATGCAAGCAAGGACAGAGAGTCCAAAATAGTCAGTAAACAGATTACAGCAGTGTGTATGGGGTGGGGCAGGCTGAGCTTGAAGAGCCTTCCAAATGCAAAAAAGCCTCCAACTGAAGTGCTGCATCAACAAATGCCTTGTTTTGACCTTGTCAGTGTTTTTCCCAGTGCTGGTACCATCACAAACAGGTCCTGCTTGTCCAGGAGGGGCAGAGAGAGGGGCCTTATCTGGCTTCCCTAAGCCCAGCTCTACCAGCATGGGCTGAGGGCTCCATGACAAAAAGGACCTCCCAGCACTGTGCTGGGGCTAGGCATGCAAGCCCCTCAGGCAAGCTGATCCCTGAAGAAACAGGTCCTCATTTCCTGAGAAGAGCAGCGAAGCCACTCTATTCCACGGGGTCAAGGCCTGGAGCTTCTCCTTTGGCTTGAACAGCAGCTGCCATCGCTCTGTCCCCTTTCACGCTTCCCCATGTGACTGGGTGAAAGGGACTTTGGGACAGACATAAAACAGGAGGGAGAGTTCTCAACAGGAGCCTAAGAGGTTATATTAGACCCCCATACCTTGAGGGTCTTCAAGAGGAGACCAGACATGCACCTAGCTGGGATTGTCTGACCCCAGCGCTCTTTCCTGAACAGGGCAGGGGGTCGGACTCAATGACCTACCGAGGTCCCTGCTGACCTTAACTTCTATGAATCTATGAATATGCAGAAGAAAGGGCAGGGTGCAGTGGGTGGGAGGTGCACAAGCTACCGCTAGGGATATGTGCAGGGTATGCAAAGTAAATCTGGGAAGGGGGCAAGACCCTTTTTCCAAACAGGTGAGAAGGTTTGGGTTCAGTGTGGTTATGTCCAGTAGGAAGTTAAGTGATTGGAAGAGACTGACGACCCTAAGTGAGAAAGTGGAAGCTGGGGAAACATGCAGCCTCTTCTGTGAGTTTGGAAACTTCCTAAGGAGCAGTATAAGAGTGTTTGGCCTTGGCCAGGGAGGTCCTCTCCCTGCACGCCAACCCCATGGAGAGCCCTCCACAGCTGGAACTTTCTCGTTCCTGGCCCTCAGCAGGTACGTTGTAAAGATGGCAGAAAGGCCAAACTGCAGAGCGTTTGAGGAGGTGGGTGGGCAATTTCTGCTTGCTAACATCCTTCTTCTAATTCCCACCAACCTCATAGCCCCAACTCTGTAGCCCTGCTCACAGGCAGCAGATGGGTTAAAGAGCAAGCACTGCTTCCCTTGACCAATATACAGTACTCCAATCTCTGGCAGATGCTGCCCCCTCTGATATCTTCACGCTCCCTCCCCTTTGCAGTAGCTTCTGCTTTCACTTTTCGGAGAGGCTGTGTTTGTCATCCAGGATGCGTAGCAAAGGGCAGTTTGTGACCCTAGGCTAACAAGAGGCAGAGCTGCTTCTCTGCACTGTTCACTATTGATAAGGAATGAACAAGGCCAGGAGTGCTCAACCCCCAACCCACAGGCCAAATCTGGCCAGCAGAGCCATGTAATCCAGCCTGTGGGTCTCCCTGCAAGTCCAGAAATGTGGTAGTGGGGAAATGGTGGCAAATAACACTGCCATCACTCCCCCACTGCTAAATTTTCAAGTCCCACAAGGCTGGATTGGCCCTGGCCAGGCCAGATCAACCCCAGCCAGGCCAGCCTCACATAGGAGTTTTGGGCCTCATTCCCATGCGGCTGGGTCAAGTTGGGGCCCATGAAGCTGTGCGGGAATGGTCTGGCCAGGACCTGATGCAGCCATGCCAGAATGGGCCCCCTAGACAAGCCATTCCCATGTGCTTGGGTTGACCCCCTACCAGGCCAGCACCACATGCCAGACTGGGCCAAGGACCAGATCCAGCCTACAGACAGATCTGGCACCACTCATCTGGCCTGTCAAACAAGCCAACAGGCAAACTCTTGGAGGAAGTCATATCATATCACTTCATAGCAACCTACAAAACCCAGTTGATTTCCCAACTGTGGATGGCAAGACTCCAATTTATCTGTAGCTAGGACACACGTGCATTGGTTTTTATACTATGACCTGCTCCTAGGTAGACATGAAAAGCCTGAGCTTGTGGGGCTTGGGGTAGCCTGGGAGATATGCAAGGGAATTTTATAGCTGCTGCCCACTCACATAGTGGTCAAGGCAGGGCAGGGAATCTCTGTGTATTCCCTCCGGCAGTGGTTCTCAACTTGGTTAGATTCAAGGCACCCTTGGAAAATGCCAGCTCTTAGTTTTCCCTCATTTTTTGACTACAGAAAAAGAATAGAGCAGTTCTTCTGTTGCAAAGCACTCAGAAAGACCATAGCAGGTCAGACACCATGAATTCCTATTTGAAATCTCTGGGTTTATCTTGTGAAGCATGTTCATGCGCTGAACAGGGCTAGTGTTGTGTGGCACCCCACAGTGCTCTTTAAAGGCTCTGAAGGCACCCTGGGGTTTCATAGTTTCATAGATTTAGGGTCGGAAGGGACCTAGTAGATCTTCTAGCCCGACCCCCCGCCAGGGCGGGAGAACAACAAAACCCCAAAAACCACGCTACCCTGGTTGGGAATCACTGCCTTAGGGTTATATCTTAGTCTCTGCTTTGCCCTTGGCCATATCAGGGGCCAGAAAACCATGGTAGGCTATGGTAAAGCAGCATGTCATTGGGCTGTACTTGTGCAATTGTTGTGGTGCTGCCAAAACTCAGGAAGATGGTGCCACGTGCTGCCCTGGCAAGCTTCAACTTGGAGCCAAACGCCAGAGAGCTGGGAAGCAAGGAGTCTGGGACAGAGTCAGCACAGGACTCCTCAAGACCCAACTTGAGAAGTAGGGACAGATGGGGGTGGCTGTGGGTCAGGGGAGCAATAGAGGCTGTCAGTATTGAGCAGAGATTTACCCCCCGGACTCAAACAGTGGGGAACCAGGGTGGAAGGGATGCCACAGCAGGGCCTGGACATAGAATAGGACCCTGAAGATGAGACAAAAGAGACTAGAGAGAGAGAAGCTTGCAGGAGAAGAGCCTGGGGGCTAAGTAGCAGAGACTGAGGATGGAGGCAGACCCTCAGAGTTAGAGGGAAACAGAAGGGCCAGGAGCGGGGACCGGGGAATCTGGAGGGTCCCTTATCTGGGAAAGAGGAAAGGAGAAAAGCCTGTGGATCAACCTGCCTGCTCCTTTCCGAGAGAGACAGAGAATCTCCCTTTCCCACCCAACCCAGAGTCATTTCCCCTTACCCCTCACCTGCCCGGGCTGCTGTCCATTCAGGCTTGCTCCCAGCAGCAGCTTGGGGAAGGCCCAGAGCCCACAGCACGGCCGTGACAGCCAGCGTGGAGGCCAGGCTCGCCTCCATTGCGACTCATTCGTGTGCCACACAGTGCAGCGAAGGGAAGCGCAGGGGATGAGAATCACTGGCCCCAGCTCCCCCTTCCAGCTTCAGGCCCAGGCCTCCCGTCCCAGGGACTGGGACCGTGCATCTGTCCCTCCTGTGCACTTCCTGCCAGCCACCTTGCTCATGTGACTGGCCTGTTGTGGCCTGGTGCTGCCAGTTAAGTCATTTCGTTTCATTGTTCCACCCATGCCCTTGGTTTTGTGCTCGCAGGGTTTATTCCACTCTCCAGCCCCAATCACAAGCCTCCAGGCTGGCACTGGGGAGAGCCCGTCCCCTCCCACCTGCTCCTGTGGCTCCACCTCCCTTTCCACCTAAGCGCTGCAGGGAAAAGGAAACCAGCCCACACAGAAGAAATAATTAAAAAAAAAAAAAATGTCCTGAACCCACCCAACCTGTTAGCAGGAGGAAAAAAAAAAAACCTAACAAGGAATGTGCTGTGAGAGGCGCTGCGGCAGGTTGCACAAGAGCTCCCTGTCACTGTGGGAACAGCTGCCTCATGGGGCTGATCCTGTCACCCTGCACTTACGCCATCTACCAGCACTCGCAGGCCTTAAGCTGTTGCCACAGAGGAAACACAGAGCTGCTCCAAGCCTGGGGGAGACACAGAGCTCCCCCAAGAAGAAGTCTGGCTTTACAATGAAGCAACAGCAAGCAGAACCATTAGACAAAACTAAAACTGTACACCTGTACTAAGCCTTTCTTCTAAGCCTAAAACAGAGGCTTGGAGGTTTTGCAGAAAGCAGGGCAGATTTGCACCTTGTAGACCAACTAAATCAGAGATGCATCGCATAAGCTTTTGTGAGCAGCAGGCTTACTTTCCCCATTCACATATGCACTCCATTTCCCCCCTTTCTGTATTGCTGAATTCCTGTTTCAACTGAACCTGCATGTAGGGCCAAAGCTTGCATTTAAGCACTGGCGGTGCGTAGGGGGTGCATGCGGGTTCATGTGCACCCCCTGAGATTGGCCGTGCCCCCCCACTGAGAGATCAGGTCACTGGGGGACACCCCCCTCCTCTCCCCCGGTCAGCAATTGGCTGCTGGGAAACCCCCTCCCTCCCCACTGGTCAGCAATTGGCTGCTGGTGCCCCCCCAGTATTAGAAGGCACCAGTCGCCCATGCACTTAAGTGCCTGATTCTGACTGGTACTGAGTACCCACAACTCCAGCTGAAGTCACTGGGAGTTCAGGCATTCATCATCCTTTTGGATCAGAGCCCCCATCCTTTACAGGCTGATTATAACTAGAAAACAGACCAGCCTCCCAAACACAGCCACATGGATTCAAAGTCAACAGGCCAGTCCTGTCATATATCATTGCAGCTAATTGCAGAAATACTGTGGGAAAGGAACAACTGGAGCTGTACAAGATTTTTATAGAGCCAATCTAGTGTACTAATCTGTTGGTTTTCATTGATGATTTAAAGGTATTTACTAATTTAAACCAATTCCCAAACTATGCTGATTGCTCACTCAGCAGTGAAATGCAGCTAGTTCTGGGGTAAATTAGAACAACTGATAAGAAAGCACCCAGCAACCTATACTTATTAACAAAGCATTGCTAAAGTGGTTAACATACCCTAAGAAATATGTTAAGCTGGGATGATGGCAACTCAACCCTGGAGGTATGCAACCTTCCAGGGCTGAGTTTAGAAGAAATAAGAAGTATCTGTGAACTTCCCCCACAACCTCACATCTGATTGTGAGATCTTCGCAAAGGGCCCAAATCTGCTCCTATGGAATCAACAGTAAGACACAGTGGTCACCACCACTGAAGGACAGTGATTTAAATGATCACCCTTTTTCTTGCATGGTGTGATAAAACAGTAGTATTAGCATGTTTAGCTGTTCTTGCTGGACTTCACAACTGATGCTCCACTGAGATCACACTTCTCAGGGTTCTTGCACTATGATGCCTGCAGACTCAGGCAGGCACCACTGCATTGGTCACAGACTATTAGTGCAAGTGCAAAGACTGGTAGAGTCTTAGGGTGTTTTTTTTTCAAAATTCTTAGCCTGGGCTTGGCTGTTCCCCACTCTGCAGTGGGACCAGAGGTGGGCCAATACCAAAGACTTTTTTGTTTTCTAAAAAAATCTCATCCTTTAATTTTGATTTTCATAAAAATGGTTGCATGGATTTTGAAGCATGGCCTGGAAACCACCAGGAAAATAGGCTCTCCTGTCAATCAGCTGCCAGCAACTGAACCCCGCCCTCAGTATATCTGATAATGATAAGTATGTTGGCTGTCAGTTGCTGTCTTCAGCATCCCATGTAATACATGGCTTTCTTCACTAATGGGTTCTCATGAATGGTATCTTAGCTTCTGTAACAGAAGCTTCTTCTTTATTGCACTGTGCTACTTGATTTGCAAACTCCGTTACTCTTTCTCATATACCTGTATTTTTTTTATTCTCAGTATTCAACACTGAATTGAATAATGAGAAAATAATCTGTTCCCTATACTTCAACTTCCTACCCATGCAGAAAGAAAAAGCATTTATGGATAAAGAATAAAAAGTTATTAAAGGGATATTTTTTTCTGTCCTACTTGAAAATAAAGTGTCAGGTGACAGTATGGCTCTAGTGGGAAGCAAACATACTGAGAGGGTTTAGCAAATCCAGACAGGGATATGTAATGACATTAATGGGGGAAAAATCATTTTCCTTTTTTAATAACAAATGGGCTGAATGCTTTGGAGGTTTCAGGAAGAGCATAAAGAGAAACCACAACCACTTGGCAGACAAGGTTATTTGGGCAAATGTGATATCTTTTATTAGACCAGCTGAATAGTTGGAAAAATCGTTCTTTGCAAGCTTTCGGGCACAGGCGCCCTTCTTCATGAATAGGGAGAGTTTGCTGGTGTTCTCTCTAGGGTCGAATAGAAGCTTAAGCCAATATGAAAAATGCAGGTCTATGAAAATGCAAATTTGTGGCAGGGAAGATCAGAGGGGATAGGAATTAATGGGTATGACACTGGTCAGTAGGAGCTGGGAACAAAAGAAGGGAATGTGGACAAATGTCAACAGGTGATAAAATGTAGCTGGTACAATGTAGAGAGGTTAGCTAGGGTTATTGGATGGCAGGCAGGTTATAATGTGGCATAAATGCAGTATCTATATTTATCCCATGATTTTTTTGTATCAAGTAGATTTATGAAGTGAAGTTTTGTAGGCTCATCTACAACAGGTGTTTTGTAAATTCCCTTTGAGGATCCGAACTCAGAGACTGGAGAGAGAGTGGTTGTTTTATAAGAAATGTGCACCCACTGTCTTTGATAGATTTTCAGTGTGTGTTCATTCTGGTACACAGTTCTTGTTGTGGAAACACCACAACCACTCTACATTTTGTCTTCATCTCCAATTGCTGGAAGCACTATCATAGACCAGCCATCAGATATGATCTGAGATCACTGGAACCTGTAGGATTTCTGTGTGTTGCTAGAAACCATGACCTAGACCAGGGCTATCCAACTTGTAGCCCATGCTTTGTATGAAGCCCATGAGGAGCTAAGTCACAGACCTTGAGCTCTCAGTCTGGATGCTGCTCTCCTGCTGCCTTCTTCCTCCAGCTGTTGCTTCCTGCCCCTATGTGTGGGGGTGATGGGGGGGCACCATGGCCCAGGACTCCTGTATGGCATGGGGGTGCCTGTGCAGTGCAGTGAGGGGGGATGCCCACTGCACAGTTTGAACAGCCTTGTTCTAGAAGAATAAGCAGAGATACAAGGAGTACAAATATGGGTAGATCCAAAGATGGAACCGGGTAGTAGATCTTGTGGTAGTGGAGGGAAGTGATCTGTCAGTTGGACCCTCTGTCCAGCTCCAGAAGGCAACATAACAAGACAGGGAGGAGTGGAAAACAGTTTGCCAGGGAAGGACTCCATCATTGCTCAAGAGATGTTATTATCAATTTAGGGTTGATGAAAGGTGCCCACTTGATCAGGAGGCTGATGTCTTCCCTTTATCCATGCAAGAGGTACTGCCCAATCAGCAGCAACCCACGCTGTGCTGTGCCATCTCTCAGCTCCTGACATGGTGGGAGAAGGATGCCCACGGTCCATTCAGCATCACGTTCTGCTGAAATGGCCAGTAGTTTCAGTGCTGTGGGTTGCTGCCTGCTGGGGTCTGCCCTGACTGAAACCGTCCCTGTCAAGTTTGATTCTTGGACCCTGATCTATGTGTTGGCAGCCCATGTTTTCAGCCCTGGGCATGTGCACTTAGCTACGTCCTACCCCCATGAAAAAGACATGAGGGAAGGAATTCATTCCATTCAGCGACCGGATTAAACAATAAGTCGCTAAGTTATACACCTGTCAGAAAATATCAGGGGGAAAGGATTAAAGATGATGTTGCCTCCCTCCTGTCTCCACCAGCCTTTTCAAAGACAGCTCTCTTTGCAATGTGCTGAGCTGCGGGGCCAGATACATCACACCTACTTTTCTCTTCTGTTTGCAGCTATGCTGGGTCCCTGTCTTTCTGAGAAGTAGGAGGGGACACAGCATAGCTTTGCTTGATCACTGCTGTGCACTGTCTATCCCCAGCTGGAAAACTCCCCTCCCCCTCAGATCTTCAGGGCAGTAGAGAAGGAGAAGGAGAGACCCTCTGACACAATTCTATGGTTAAAATATATTTTCAAATGGGAGGCCAAACTCTCTGGTGAGGTCATGTCATTGGTTTCAATGGGTCTGTGTAAAAAGGGAGTGTAGCTCTATTTAAACAGTTATAAATAGCCTTTCTCTTCTGCTTTTGAACCTGATCCTCAAAATGTTGAATGCCCTTCACTCCATGAAGGCAGCAAGCTCCAAAGCACTCAGCAACTCCCAGGAGATGTTCAGCCCTCACATGACCCTGCTGTGGACAGAAAGTACACATCAACTGGTATAAGTGATCAGAAACATGTTCAAATTTGTAACACAGTAGAAATTCAGTGCACATAAACTGCTTTCAAAGGCTAGGTACAGGCATTCTTGTTATGTTGGCCCTTTGGTGGGGGGTGCAAGCCTTAGACCAGGTTCTGCCATTTTTAAACAAGTCTGTGTGTGTGTCAAATCTCTATTCTGTCATGGGTACAGACCAGTTTCTAATCACTTATACTGGTAAAAGTATAATGTCTGTACCTGCCAAAATGGCTGAAACTGGTTTAAGATAAACCTGGATGGATGTAGTATCAGACTTAACTGATTTGACTTAGGTTAAATCTGTTTATTGAACTTCTGTCCCAGATCCCCTCCAGATTCAAGTTAACT